ATTATGTAAGAGCTAAATCTGCCTATTGTATGTCTTTTTTTCTGACTTCAAATGTTATATAAATTATTATTTAGACATTCATTCACATGTCAAACCTATTATCAACCTCTAGAACATTGGATTGTCGAGATTTATAGGACTTGAACACCCACAAGATTTAACAATAAATGGATAACAATCAAAATGATCTACGCTACACATCTTCAAACAATAATAACTTCACCCAGAATAAAGTAATTTGAGTGAAATATTCTATATATTCATTTTTTATTGTCTGGGGATCACGTGGCTAAGGTGCTGGCTCGATGGCTTGGAGGTCGGTTGTTCGATCCCTGCATTGGCCGAGAAAGTTCATCCAGATTTTCCGGCGTGGTTTCCCCTTGTCAGTGATGCAGGACGGAGGGCCTGGCAAGGACAGCTGTCTAGTTGTTCAGATGGGACGAAAAACCGAGGTCCCTGTGTACATATTGGCGTGGACGTAAAAGATCCCTTGGCAGTTGGAATTCGATATAAGAGTAGGCCGTAGCGCTGCTGCCCTGGCAAAATTTGCCTCATAACTCACTGTATGGCGTATGCCCGTCTTCATTAGCCCAGTTTAGGAGCAGAACAGTAGGACGTTAAACCCCATTTCATTTCATTTCATTTTTTATTGTCTATTTGTGAACTATTATAGCAAGAATGACCAGCTCTTTATCTAATTCTTACATAATGCATCTTTAAGGTAAGATATGTAGGAACAGGATGCTCCCTACCTTATCTGAAACACTATTTTCTGTAGAGTTTGAAGCTTTATGACATTTTAATAACTATACATGTATTCAAATTTTGTTTAGATGGAAATGAGATTGACACATACAGTCGCGTTTTAGACTTCTTTGAGGAACTTGACTGAAAAATGTTTGAGGACAGCAATAGAAATGAAATTTAGTTTAACGTCCTAATTTTATGCCCCATTCGGGCAGATGAAGAAGGGGGACAGCAATAGGTTTATAACATTGTAATGTAGCTCATAAGTATGTCTCTTAATTGAGTAATAAAAAGGGAGCCTTTGATGTTTATAATTGAAGCTTAAAGGGTTTGGCGTAGTAGATTAATATTGAAGTATTACGTTGGTCCTGGATATAATAGTATTGGTCAATAGCCTCTACTCTTAAAACATAGCAGATGTTGTATGTAGCCCTAACATTACCATTATTCCTGCTAGACTTAGATATTGGTACATGGTTCTGTAATATGCTCAAACTTAATGTTCAATATTCAGTATTGGTTTCTACCATGTGAAGTTTATTGCTGATATTGGATATGGTAATCTCCATGTACTCTGTGATACTAGAGGTATAGTGTACCATAGATGCCGGTACTACTGTGAGATAGAGAGAGATTCCATGGAATTCTGTGTCATGGATGACAGTTTTATTGTCATTTTATTGTGATTTCAAACCTAAATGGAAAGATATGGGCCAAGATTTACTAATGGATTGTGAGTGATTAAATGTTATTTTGTTTGTCCACTGTGATAGGTATACTTGTGGTGATATTTACTACTTATGAGGATGCAGAACTTAGATTACTAAAGTGAGAGAGAGAAATGGAGTTTAACGTCCACTTGACACAAATGAGGTCATTTCAGGACTAGCACATGGTGCAATTTTATTCAATGATTTACTTGTGTGTAGGAGGCTTTAGCAGTGGGATGAAACCAGAGAAAACCCTCAAGATTGGACAGGCGATCCTATTCCTTGTCACGTACAAACTTTAGAATAACTACAACTATTATGAGAACGGTACAAGGTTGGCCAGAAAAGGTTCAATTTCTAGAACGTAAGTCTCAAGAAAGGGAAAGTTCAGATCATTTGGTATTGCTTAATTTTGTCGAATTCGTTCATTGGATTTTGTTTCTTGACTAGTGGTTAGGACCATCAATACTTCTTATATTATGTGTTTGAAGTAGCTTTATTAAACGTCTGCTTCCACCAACGTGATATCACAAACAAGCTCTGTTATATTGATAATTATAATGCTTTAATATAGGTCCACTGCCTAAAACTGCATTATTGCGTGTTGACTAAATACATAAAGGCTTCACTATAATATTCTTCAGCGCTTAATTGCCTTGTGAATTTGGCCAGTTTGGTGTTCAGCTTGAAGTGATGATGGAAAAGTATGAATTTCTAGTCAGGAAAGATATTGTTTGTTATTGATATCATGCTGGATCTGTATACAAAGCACAGTTGGTTAAAGGATATAAATATAAGGTGGCGCAACTCAGTTTCCAGTGGTGAAAAAAAGATGGTGTGATAAACATTGGTTGGACTTATTTATTGCTGTAGCTATTCTCAGTGGATAAATTTCAAAGGTTTTTTATTGTATAATCTGTGATGTCTTATAGAGGGGTACATATATCTTTCAGAAGTTTTAAATTTACTATAGAGATCCAAGGCTTTAAATTACAATATCTATCAAATCTCTCAAGTATATCTCATGAATATACCATGGTACATTAAACCTTTATAGAATCCGATAATTTTACTCTGTGGACAATATTCAAAGACAGTAGTTTTTTTTTTTTATTTGAGTTTTGTTCATACTGGTATGGCTGTTATTATTTTCTAATATATGTTTTCTCATTTTCATCGAAACTTATTCTCAAAAGAAAAGGCATAATATTGTGAACGGATTTTACATCTCTATTGTATTGTAAATTTGAAACAGAGTTTATCTTCTATTGTAAGTTTGGCTGAGTTGTAGTTTCAGGGAGAAATCTGATTTTTTCATAAAGAATATTTTCCTGTATTTTGGATATTGTTGTTCTTTACGATATTGAAATTTGAACATAGTTTAAAATAAAACAATAAAAGTATGTTTTTGGTCAGATAGATTGTGACTTCTGTTTAAGGTCAACTTTCCATGTAACCAATTCCGTCTTCGGGAAACATTGATGTTTCCATGCATAATTTTTTGCATTTCAATGTGTATTGAAAATCCCTAAAGTTGTAGGAATCCCATGTAAATGATGTCATAGTTAAGGATTTCACTTTACAGTATGGATGCCAACATTTTTTAAAATAACATTAACACACCATGTCCCAAAATTCTGCTATGTTCTGCCATTTTCAAGCTGCATGCAGGATGAGTGGTTGTCTGATTTTTGTTTTGTAACCATCCCCTGAAGCAAAACATCTGATTGGACATACATGCACATAGTAGATGAGAGCAAAAACACTGTCAAAAAGTTGCTAATCAAAATAGCTTACATGGAAACGGTTAAATTGCATTAGCGTTGGACCAACTTTTTCATCGGTGGAAACATGTACATGGAAAATTGGCTTAACACCGATCTGTTATTTTACAGGTTATTATTCTGCATCATGGCAAAAGATACAACAAACCAATGAGAATTGTTTATATAATTAATAGTGTTTCAAAGAGAAACAATTTTCATATAATGGAACAACTAATCTACTTTAGAAACCTCTGGTGATATTAAAACATTTTAGTCATCAAAATGAAACGGAAGAAATGTTTATGATATAGATAGGTATTATTCCATCATTAGAGATTTCTTTACACAAGAGGATATTGCGTTTATTAAATGGATTAATGAAAGTGTAACAAATTTACATTTTTATCTGATGTACACGGTTCGCGATGGAACATAATTGGTGTAAATATTATGTTATGCTATTATAAATACAATTTAAGTGATGACAAGGTCAAAGAGTAAAATCTGATTTTTTCATAAAGAATATTTTCCTGTATTTTGGATATTGTTGTTCTTTACGATATTGAAATTTGAACATAGTTTAAAATAAAACAATAAAAGTTTCACAAACCCTTTAATAACTCCCTTAAAGAATTCTGAACCGGATTATGGTTCTGCTTTTAAAACGAAAGAGTATTGAAGTTATATTAAGGAATGGTTAATCAAGTTGACTCCTTCACTTCTCTTTAATACTTTAATATAATGGATTATTGCTCAACTACTCTTTCCAATTTCCTGGATTACTTGGCCTTTGTTCACTGTGTATAAATATGACAACCTTTGTTCTAGTTGTAAGATATTACAAAGGTTCTGATAGATTCTACTCTCCTGAACCCTTCAGGTTATCGTTCCTAAGGAACTACTCACGGATCATACTGAGTGTTATGCATTGATTATCCTTATATATACATATTAAACAACAGGTGCAGTACAGCTACTACTTATATATACAAAGTATCAGTGAACAAACTTATATTCTTTTTAATTCAATTGATAACATTCATAAAAGCTGATTGATTTGATTGATGATGTTCATAAAATTCCTGTTATGGTGTGGAATTAACAAATTCAGATACATGTTCAAAATGGAATTCACAAATTAAAATAGATGTACAAAGTGGAATCAACAAATTTGAACAAATGTTCAAACTGGAATCAGAAAATTTGAATAGATGTTCAAACTGGAATAAAAAAAATTTGAATAAATGTTCAAAGTAGAATTAACAAATTTGAATAGATGTCCAAAGTGGAATTAACAAATCTGGATAATGTTCAGAACCACCTGTTCTATATTCTGAATGGAATTGTTCTTCAAAGTGACATACCAGTTATGCAAAGTGTCTATACCAATATATCTGCTGGGACTTTGAAAACAATTTGCTCAAATTTGTAACTATACTCTAATTGATTATAAAATATCTATTCAGAATTTGTGCACCTACCTTTATTTTATTGGTGGCAAAATACAATGTTCTAAGATATCTTCTCCTATTGAAAGAAATGATGTAAATGTTTGCTCAAAATATGATGTGCATCAAGACTTGCCTAAAAAAAAACAAACAGCAATTAACTAATGAATGCACTTCTATCAAAATGATACACAAATATTGGTAAACCCTTCATCAAATGTGTGTCGAAAATGAAATATTTAAGGAAATGTGTATGCCTGATATATGATATGTGTTAGTTTGGTATAATGTGGAATATTATTGACAATAGATAGGATTATTGTGTTATTTTACGATTATATCGTGGAGTATTGTAATGGCCTCGGCTATACCTAGACCTACCAAAATACCTGTACCAGCGGCTAAACGAGAATCAGCCATTATTATTAATAGAGACAAGACTAAACAAAAGGTGAGATTTATTATTTATAGATAATTTGTATTGTTTGTCAATGTATTATGGGAGCACTAGTGGCTCAGTGAATAAAGCGGAAGTTCTGGGGTTTGATCCCGATGTCGGCTGAAGAATTTCCAAGGGATTTTCCAGTGTGGTTTCCCCTCGTCGGTGGTGCAGGGCGGAGGGTCTGGAAAGGAACAAGGTCTAGTCGTTCATAAAGGGTTGAAAAACTGAGGCTTGGTGTGCATGTAAAAGACCCCTTAACAGTTGGTATTCAATTGCTGCCTAGTAGGAGAACAGTAGGATGTTAAACCCAATTTCATTAATCTGATTGGAGCAGGACATTAGACCACATTATATCATGCATTTAGTATATCAGTTATATTATTAAAAGTGTAGGACAGGTATTATTCAGAACAGATTGGTACAACTTGCTACCTCTCCAATTAAAGTTTAAGCTTAAATTGACTCAAAATAGCCATTGGTTTTGACTGGTTTCCAGTGGCTTAAGGAAAAGTGTTCTTACTACTTCTAAGGAATGGTGTTTTTACTTCCTCTAGAACATGTAATATCATTAAAGTATAGGACATGACCTTGGGGCCTGAAGATATGAAATTTTGTAAATCCCAGATTGGTACTACCTCTCCCAGTTTCGGATTTTAGCTTAAATTGGCTCAAAATAGCCAATGGTTTTCAATGGACTAAAGGAGGGTGTTCTCCCTACTTCTAGAATGTGTAATACCACATGGAATGTCATTAACCCTTCATAACAAGCAGTTGAGTCATCTGTCCAACCTTATCAGTTTACTCCGGGTCCTCTGGTTTCCTTACATGGCTAAAGACACTTATATGCAAGCGAATTATTGAAATAAAATTGTACAATATTTTAGTCCCGAAATGACCTGCTCTCTGTCTCTCTTTCTCTGATATACCATTTGAAGACAGATAACCTGTCTCTTGTAACATATATTGCGTTAAATAGGAGTTTTAATTATAACACACTATTATTAGCCTTAATTCGAGCAACCTATCGGACCTCAGGTTCACCATTACAATATACATGTAGAAACTAGTAACAGATAACTGGACATTAATTACCCTGAAAACTTCAGACAGAATCAATATCTCAGTCTCCGCTAATCACACTGTCTGGCTTTAATGATATAAACCTAGAAATGTAAACCTCTGATAAATCAGTCTTGGAAACGAACATATGTATCTTGACGAGTGTGAAAGCCACAAATTATTGAAACTAAGGTTTTAAAATTTATGAATTTTAAGTACAAGGAAGTACAAGGACAGTCTCTGTCTGATTGATTGTAGAGAGGGATCTTCTATATCTATAATTAAAACCTGTCTTTAGATTTAGATTGAGAGAGAGAGAGAGAGAGAGAGAGAGAGTCTAGCAGTGGGAAGACCAAGACAAAACCCCAAAAATACTGAAGATGCCATATTAGAGCAGTAAAATAGTTGCTTTATTTATTTTATTTGCTGTATTTGGATTGTAAATCAATGTTATTTTTTTATTTCCTTTCCACATTTGAAGTGAATAGCAGTAATTCAGTCAGTCATCAATGTTATATTTAGATACTGATATCAGGAAAATTGAGATCAGAATTCATGTCAAAAACAGAAACAAGATTGATTTAATATCTGTGGGCTGATTTGTAGTAAAACCCACGCATATTGTTCCATATATCATATTGAATAAGTTTTGACTGACCTTAAAATATTATCATATTTATTACAAAGTTCCAGATATATTTTATTAGGGCCCATTAACTTGCTAATTTCGTTTGTGAAATATCCAGGAATTGGATTTTTATGCACCCACATCACTGTTTTGATGACTTAGCTCTTGTAGTTATGTTCAGTAGTCAATTTCTGGAAAGCAACATGTGTACCTATTTCACCTGTTATATTATCCCACACTGAACGAAGTAAGGAATAGATAATTGGTCTCAATGCAATAAGTGAAGGAAATGGGGTTTGACATCCTAATGTTCTGCTACATCTGGGTTAATGAAGCCAGGCATATGCTATGGGGGGAAATTTTGCCAGGACAGCCTTCTTTTATTTCGATTTCCGAAGTGCTCCCCAATGTGTTCACTTGGGCCTCGGTTTTTCAAAATCCAGGGCGACCTTTGGTTATCGTGATTTCTTGACTATGGTCGAACTAACTGAATCCGAATTTCATTTAGTCCGACCATAGTCCGAAAATACTGAACCAGGCTATTGTGGCATGGTTCGAGTAGTTCCAAAATGGTGGGTGTCGATGAAACGTAAGTGCAGAATATTTAAAGAAGAATCTGTTTTTGTTTAGTATATGTTTTTAGTGGTTTCTAATTCTATGAGCCATCTTTGATCAGACGGTGGTCCAGACCATCTGCATTCGGTTTCTAGTCCCGACTACTACTCCGGAAAAATTTATAACCGAAGGTCGCCCAACCACAAAGGACTTTTGTCTTGCACCACTGACAAGGAAAGTCCACGACGGAAAATCTTGAGTAACTTTCCATCACCTGGATTGAACCCTGGACCTTCAGGTTAGCGAGTCTGCACGTTTCGTCACTGAGCCTTAGCAGGTCACATTATCTTACATATATATCGTAAATAAGAAGCAGTAAATCCATAAAGTTGTGTTATTATGAACAAATATCTTGTAAATAAGACAAGAGATCTTTAATTGCTACAAGGCATCTATTGATTATCATAAGATATAGATATAATATAGGTATTATCATACACAGATCAATAACAACATACGAGTATATAACATTACAAACATAGATATTCTATAGATGCTATAACAATAGGCTTTATATTAATATCCTCTTGTCACTCACGCATCACTGGAGGTAATCAAACCACTGTATATAGACCATTAAAACTACCAGAAATTACTGACTTACTTGCAACCATTAGTATAGATTCTAATAGCCTCTTCTTGATCAAAATCGAACTAGCTGTATCTCTAATATCTATAATGGCTGTTATATGTAGATAGAAAGATTATGGACACAGATTTTTGTGTTAAGCACAGTATGAAAAAACTCTATAAATTTCTTTTTAAATTATAAATTACGTAATATAAAATAAGTAGAGGGGCATGAGCTATGGAACATAAGAAGAAAATTTTGCTTTGCGAATTCAGGACACTTGAACAGCCCCAAAAAAAAAATTTTCTGAAATTTTTGACAGACGGAGGATATCTGCTTAATGTCTGTTAACTTGAGATAGACTGTGAGAGAATCGGGATTAAAGTAGAACATGTAAGTGAGGTATCCCACACTTATATATACAGCTGAAAAATTCTATTAAAGCATAGAAATTGAAATAGATAAATTACATGGTACTTGTTTATGTATTGATGTTACTGTCACCATGTGTGAAATTTAGATAAATATTTTTATTAAACAATTTGAAATAAAAATTGGTTTCAATTCCCCGCTTGTACAGACAAGGAGTAGGGTTGCCTGTTCAACCTTGAAATGAAAATAAAGCCGTAAGTCCCAAAATGACCTAGTTTGTGTCAATTCAACATTAAAGCACATTTCTCCCTCTCTCCCGGGACAAAATCAGTATCCTTTGTGTCCCATGACAGTCTCTCTCAAGTTCAGGTAATAAGTCAAAACCTTGGAATATCATCTTATACATAAATCTCCTTCATTAGAGAACAATTGTTCTTGACCTGAAGACACCGTCAAAACTCAGTCAGACAATAAATTGTCAATATAAACATTAAGAATAAATGTCTGTAAATTATCTCCAGACAGCGAATTGTCGATAATAATCAGAAAGATAAACCTTGTCAGATGACCGTACATCCTCATTTAATACCGTTACATTATTTACCGTAACTAATAGAATTTGTCTGTATTCTACAAATGTCTATTAACCATGATGGTTTTCAATTAATGTTTCTGGTTATGGAACTGTAGACTGAATGTTGGGAAAATTATAAGCACAAGAATATTTATGTTGTTATATATGCAACATATTGTCACAATATAGTGAAGCAAAAATTTGGCCTAGAAAATGAAATGAAATGGAGTTTGGATTAAAGTCCTACTTTTCTAAGAAAACCAAGTTTATGAAGACAGGCATATTTTTCAAAGACTAGATAGTGAGTTTCTGCCTACTCTTCGTTGAATCCAAACTGCTATGTTTCTTTTGTGTTGAATCTGGATGGTACGAAAAACTGATGGCCTGTGTACACATTTGCGTGCACTTAAAAGATCCCTTGATAGTTAGAATTTGATAGGCCATATTGCCACTGTCCGGGTAAAAGTTCCCTCATAGTTTAGTGCATAGCATATGCCCGTCTTCATTAGAGCAGGAGAGTAGGATATTAAACCCCATTCCATTTCATTTAATTTTTATGTACATGACAATGTGTACAACAGGACCTCAGTTTTGCATCCCATCAAAATGAGGAGATGCTGTTCATTGCTAGGCCCTCCATCCTGACAAGAGAAAACCACGCCAGACAATCCAGAAGACTTATTTAGTCAACACTGGGAGTGAACCCGAGACCTCCAGGTCCAGCACATTATTTATTGAGCCACCATGGCTCCTGTGATTGCATCCTAGGATGTTCATCAGCCGATCATGCACAGAACATGGGGCATATAGAATGTGGTTGTATCATTTGATATCTGAAGTAAATAGGTAGACCTCCTTTAAAGTTTTTCGTGGAGCCAAGGTGGCTAAGTGGGTAAGATACTGGCTCGCTAGCCAAGAGGTCGCAAGTTTGATCCCTGCATTGGCTGAAAAGTTCATAGAGGAATTTCCAGTGTGGTTTCCCCTTGTCAGTGGTGCAGGGTGGAGGACCTGACAAGGACATCTGTCTACTAGTTTGGAAGGAATGAAAACCAAGGACCTGTGTATACATTGGCGTGCACATTAAAGATCCCTTGACAGTTGGAATTCGATACAAGAGTAGACCATAGTACCAATCCCCGGGCAAAATATCCCTCATAGCAAACTGTATGGTGTATGCCTGTCTTTATTAG